ATAAATAAATGTGGAAGTTAAGTGAATGTAGAGTCTCACAGACTTTGTATTGGAATGATTTTAAACTGCCGTCCTCAGATCTCAGCATTCTGAGTAGCTAGGATTATAGGCATGAGCCACTGGAGCCTCTTTTTATACTGATTATGTCAGATATAGTAATAGAAATCTGATTAACACAAGCACAAAATGCCCACCAGTCTTAACTTCATACCTTATAATATGAAGTTTTTAACTTTTTACAGTGATATCAGGACTTGAACTCGGTACCTTGCACTCTCAACTTTCTTACTTATCTCTAATGTCCTACCACTTGAACCATGGCCATGGCCCCAATCTCACATTTTGATGATTAACTAGAGAAAGAGTCTGTCAGACTTCTCTGCCAGTGCTAGCTCTGAACCCTAATTGTCCAGGTCTTAGCTTACTAAGTAGCTAAGAATTACAGTCATGAGCAACAAGCTCCCCGCTTGAATTTTTAAATTCTATTTTATAACATATCTGTTAGTAAACAGTGCCTCAAAAGAGAAAGGATAGAACTAAAGATATTCATTGTCAATCATCTTGGGTATAAACGAAGAATCTAGGTTGTAGTGACAGTTTGCCCAGGGATTAAAAAAAAAAATTTCTTGAGCTAGGAACGTGGCCTAGTGATAGAGTGCTTGCCTATCATGCATAAAGCCCAGAGTTTGATTCCTCAGTACCACACACACAGAAAAAGCCAGAAATGGTGCTGTGGCTCAAGTGGTAGCAAAAGAAGCTTGAGGGCAGTGCCCAGGCCCTGAGTTCAAGCCTCAGGGCTGGCAAAAAAAAAATCTCCATCCATCATAAAATAGAAGGGGGAAAAAAATCAGTTTTCTTTAGACATTGAATGAATTTAAATACAGAAACTTCATTAGCAAAGAACAAAAATAAAAAACAACATGGAAAATATCAAATTACTATTTAATACGACTTTAAGTAAATAAGAAGAGGACCTTTTCAAATAAAAAAAATCCCTGTAAATAACATGTTCTTAAACTCTCATTCCCTTCCTTAAGTAGCTACTGACTAATCTGGAGTCTGACAAGGAAGAGACAGTCTCTTCTGGTCTTTGGCTCAAATTTCCTGTAAGACATTTGAATGTTGTCATCTTCAAATTAAAGTTATGTGTAAAATCTAATTTTAACAGGCTACTAAGTAATGGTTAGGTCAGCCCTTTTGTGAGTGGAGAGAGCTTTTAAGCTGAAACACTATCATGGTAACTTAGTAGTTATATCCCTATTTTCTTTTTATTCTTTTTGTTACCTGATCTTGGAACTAGAAATTGACAACCAACATCAATATTTTTAGCAGAAAAATCTAGAAAAGCCTATTAAATAACATGACCCTAGTCACCTCCCCTGATTTTATGTAGCAACTCTTCTCTTTCACTCTATTCCAGACACAGAGGCTTCCTGGTTATGACATGCACTTGCCAGGCACACTCCTACATCAGAGGCTAATCATTTGCTTTCTTGTCCTGGGAACCTTCTTCCCATCAACACTTACATACTGTTTTCTCCTTCTCCTCTAGATCTTTTTCAGGTATGACCTTCTCAGGGACTAATTAACCTCTTACTGACAACTGCCTACTCTACTACAGCAAAGCCCCCACTAGGACAAGCATACCTTTTGCTTTTTTAATACTTCTTTTGAAAAAAAATAAATCCACAAGTCAAAGTTCTATCAAAATTTAAGTAAAGGATCATAGATACCAAAATATAAGAAATATTAAAATGATAACTTTATTAATCTATTTACAATAGTACATTGGTAATAAAATGTTACAAAGTAGACCGTAGGCTGGGAATTCCTTGGTTGGTAATTATACATATCTATTATGGTAAAGTGGGCAAGTAGCTTTATTTACATTGGGTAGCCTAAGATTAAAAATAACAATACATTAGACAAAAAGAGAAAGAAAATAAAGCAAGTGAAAGAAAAGTATTACATCTCCCTACCTCTTAAGCAGTGTAGACACTGAGCTGAGAGCTAGAGTAAAATGATATTGGATACTCCATAGGTAGAAGCAGAGATACTACAAAAGAAATGAATGGAGTGATGCACAGGGAAGCCAAGAGAAGCTGAGGGCTTAAGCCAAGGGAAGACTGCAACACCTGCAGATTTCAACATGTACTTGACGAAGGGACACTGCCACTAAGAGGCGCTTAAGGACAATCTAGGGCAATCACAGCAGAGGAAGAGAGGGTCATTCCCTTAATTCTTTCACACACAGAACAAAGAGAGAGTAGAAGAAAATTAAGATATTATACAACTTTTTCTTAGCAGTCCCGAGCAAGAACATCCAAAGAAACTATTTACAGCTTAAATAACACAACCTTAAATGAATGTGATTTTACATTTTGTTTTGCTTTCCCTTTTTGGTAGTACTGGGGATTAAACTCAGTACCCTCTCTACCATTTGAGCCATGCCTCAGTCCTTTTTGCTTTAGTTTTGTTTTTACATAGGGTCTCACACTTTTTCCTGGACTTGCCTACTTCCAAGAGCTGAGAATGTGGGTATGAGCATTATACATAATTCAGATTCTGAGACAGGATCTTGCTAACTTTTTGGGTATGATCATCCTAGCTCTATCTCCCAAGTAGCTAGAATTACAAGAGTGAGGTACCATGCCTGGCCCCCAATTTTTAACACAGGAAAATTACAACAATTAACATAGACTGACTATCTTTAACAGATAAGCATTTGAAAATGTACCAAGCAATGTTATAAAAAGAAAATTAAAACAGACAAAAGGGTAAAGAAGTAAACATTTAAAGAAACTTACACTTCACTAGTAGTCAGTAACATTGACTTTTTAGTTATTCCTCAACTATGCAATGACATTTTTTTTGCTCAGATTTATCAAAATATAAACAACATTCTCACGTACCATATGATACTAGAACAAACGTTAATTTAATTGGGCATCACACCGTTTTTTTTTTCACTCTAATACTCCATTTATAATAATTTACCTTCAGGAAATAAAGTGGTAAGAGCAAAGATTTCTACATAAACATTGTTACAGGAGGGGAAATAAAGGGTGCTAAGGAGAGAGGTGAATATTAGAAGTACTATACACACACACACACACACACACACACACAGGAAAACAGCATAAAAGCCACTAAAAACTCTTTTTAAAAGAAAGAAAAGGAAAAAAAGGATTAAAAAACTAATATAGAAGTAGTAAATTAAGTCAATGTGTACTCTATACATATATGTATTATCACCAGAAAACCCTTTTGTACAATTTATGCTCATAAAAAGACTGTTACTGCTGTACTATTTATTATAGCTTCCCAGGGGGAAGGCAACCTAGATGATCAAAAAATAGGCATATGTAATTATGAAATATACCTTGACCATAAGAAGCATTTTATTGTCAACTGAAATACTTCATAAAGATTAAAGACATAAGGGGCTGGGAAGTTGGCTCAGTGGTGAAGCGCTTGCCTTGCATGCCTGAGGCCCTGGGTTCAATTCCTCAGCACCACATAAGCAAAAAGAAAAAAGCCGGAAGTGGCGCTGTGGCTCAAGTGGTAGAGCGCTATTCTTGAGCTGAAGAGCTGAGGGACAGCGCCCAGGCCCAGAGTTCAGGCCCCACGACCGGACTCAAAAAAAAAAAAGATTAAAGACATAAAAAATGGTTACTAGATTACATGAAGAGAGGGCATTATATGCATACATAGGATGAATACATTAAAATGTATCCATGCAAAGTACTATTATTCAGCAATAAAAAGGACAAAATGTAGATGTAAGCAACACATAAATTCAAAAGGACAAATAAAACAAAATTAGGCAACTTAGTAAGCACAAGGTCCTGAGTTTAAATCCAAGAACCATGACAAAAAAAAAAGCTAGACACAGTAAATGCTTTGAGTCAACTTCTATGAAGTTCGATAGGCAAAAACAATCTATGTTGATAGAACAGAGGTACTTCTTGGAGGAAGCTGTGTCAAATGCACAGAGGTCTGAGGTGATAGGAACTTTCAGTAGTTGGATCTGAGTGGTCATCACATAAAAGCCACTAAAGCCAAGCACTGGTGGCTCATACCTATAATCCTAGCTATTCAGGGGGCTGAGATCTGAGAATTGCAGTTTGAAGCCAGCCCGGGCAGAAAAGTCTGTGGGACTCTTATCTCCAATAAACTACTCAAAAAAAGCCAGAAATGGCACTGTGGCTCACGTGGTAAAGCACTAACCTTGAGCACAAAGAAGCTCAGGGACAGTGCCCAGGCCCTGAGTTCAAGTCCCACAACCAACAATAGCCAAAAAAAGCTACTAAAATAAAGCATAAACACACATAATACATAAAGTCATCAAAACATACATTTAAGATTTGTGTATTAATGTATATACATCATATCTTAATAGATTACTATAGAAACTATATATAAAGAACAACTTTAATTATGTTAAATATATTTGTATACAAAGATAAAGTATATCAAAGTATTAAAGGTAACTAATGCTTGGATTGTAAGTTATTTATTTTCTTTACTTTTCTGAATTTTCCAGTTTCTAAAATGAGTTTTACATAACTCATATGACTGAGGGAGATGCCTAAATTTTATCTTAACAACTATGTAATACTTATAACTATCATAAAGTCATTAAATGTGCATGTGCAAAAGGACTTAAATTCTTTCTCCTAACAATGTATTTCCTAGAAACTATAAACACTCAGGCTCATTACTATATTCAAACAAATCAAGAAAAACACTGAACGCTGATTAGTAAAGGAATGAGAAAGTCATCACTATCGAATTCTGGGCTGACTAAAAGTTTGTCCTCCCTTCAACAAATACAGGGCTCTGATGAATCCATAAAAACTAGTGATTCTGATTATCTACATACCATGCAAAATGCCCAAGGAGAGCTGGGTTTATAATGAAAATGGTCTTTGAGTTTTAGAAACTTTACAATATGTACAAATAATAAATAAGAACAAAACCAAAGAAGACATACAAACCTCTGATTGTACATGCCCCGAAAGTTGTAATTAGCTCTATAATTTGGGAATGGCTTTGGATCTAATGGCCTGTAGATGGCAGGCTCTCCCCTTTTCATAGCAAGCCCATTCAGTTCCACAGTTGGAGTAATACTACCTGTTTAAAGAAATATTAAAGGCACACAAGTGAAATATTTCCACAGCAAATCACACAAACTCTACTTACTACATTTAATTATCATGAAAGAAGGTGAGAGTAGATGGCCCCTCTGACTGGTTTTCTTATGTATTATATATAGTGAAATAATTAGAAAATCAGTTTTAATGAAATCCCTTGGATACTTTTGCAACATTCTTGGTAAATTAATAAACAAAACTTCAGCCGTAGTCATACTCTTCAAAACAAAGTAAACACAAAATTCTTACATTGTCATAGGCATTATTTTAAAAGTACTGAACGTACCTATTACTTACCCCAGAAAGCTCACATGTATTTAATCACTAAGAATATCACTTGTGAATACTTTATACTTCGGCATTTAAGCAACTAAAAACTGTCAATGAATACAAGGTTGTAAGTAATTTTTCAATTTAGGAAAAAACTTTTGTTGAGTTTTATTTAATAACCAACAAGACAAAGTAAATGTAAGTGATACTGAATATGATACTTCAGAAATTGAAGAGTTATCTTTCCCACACAACACAAAGAGGTACACAAAAACAGTGTTATAAAATCAGACTGGAAACAACCTAAGAACCACCACACGGCACCACTTATGAACAATACACACCTCACTTTTGCTTTTTCTCTTCTTTTTTCTTTATCTTTTGTTGTTGTTGTTTGTTTCTAGTGTTGATACTAGGGCTTGAACTCAGGACCTGAGAGATGTCCCTGACCTTTGTTGCTCAAGTCTAGCACTAACCACTTGAGTTACAGCTCTACTTTCCACTTTTAGGCTAAGAATCTCATGGTCTTTCCAGCCCAAGCTTCTAATTGTGATCCTCTTATCTCAGCCTCCTAAGTAGCTAGGATTACAGGTGTGAGCCCCTGGAGCCTCTTTTTACACTGGCTCCAGTACTGCTCTTTTTTCTTTTTCTTCTTTTTTTTTTTTAGCATAACAATATCCTTGGAGGTGATACCATGAAGAACAGGATGTACTATTAAATGAAAATCAACAAAGCACCAAATAGTGTGTAGTTTACAGTCTTTTTTTTTATCTAAGAAAGTGAAAATAGAAATGTGTACGTTTGTTTTGTAAAGAATAAAAACCAAACTAAAAAAGGGGAAGCACATAGAGAGAGAGAGAGCACAGAGAAGAGGACATTCTCTCAATGTGTACTTGCACAAATTTTGAAGTTTTTTTATTACTGTAAAAATATTTCCATTAAAATCTGGGGGAAAAAAATCCCTAAAGTCCTAAAGGTTCTAAGTCAGACTAGACAAGAAAGTTCATGAGACTCTTATATCCACTTAACCATCAAAAAGCTGGAAGAAGAGCTGTGACTTAAATAGATGAGTGCCAGTCTTGAGCAAATAAGCTAAAGGACAGCATACAGGCCCTTTTGGTAACTTATAAACAGAATTTTTATATGACTTTAAACAAAATAAAATACTCACAATGAAATTTACCCTAACAGAAAAAGACAAAACAAAGTCTCAAACTGTTTTCTATAATCATATTGCCAGTAACATGATTTTTAACTAGTAATGTGCTTTCATTTAACAAAATTAAATCAAACTGGAGACAACAAAAAAAAAACTCTAAAAAGAAAACAATACAGTTAAGCTAACAGTAAATCAAACTTGTGGCCTTAATTGTACAAATAGTACTGTCTTTTTTCAAATGTCTTGAAAAGAAAGTAACATACTCATATGGCCTATAGAAAAGGAAAGTTAAGGACTAGGAAGGTGGCTCAGTGGTAGAGCACTTTGCCTTGCATGCTTGAGGCCCTGGGTTCAATTCCTCAGCACCACGTAAGCACAAAGAAAAAAGCCGGAAGTGGTATGTGGCTCCAGTGGTAGAGCGCTAGCCTTGAGCTGAAGAGCTGAGGGACAGCACCCAGGCCCAGAGTTCAGGCTCCACGACCAGACCCAAAAAAGAAAAGAAAAGAAAAAGAAACGTAAAGAAATTATAAAGTATTTTTCAATAATGATATTAGTAATATTGGAATTTATAAAATAGATTTAAAATTGTTTATGTTAGAAAGTAGCATGAGAGATGGAAATATAAAAGCAAATACATTAAGTAAAACAATGTAGTCTCAGATTTTAGTTAAAAACATCAATATGAATTCATGATGTATTTTCTCCTTAATCCAGGCTATTCAGGAGGCTAAGATCTGAGGATCACAGTTCAAAGCCAAGCCAGACAGTAAAATCTCTAAAACTATTATCTCCAATTAACTACACACATACACACCACACTCTCTCTCTCACTCTCTCTCTCTCTCTCTCTCTCTCTCTCTCTCTCTCTCTCTCTCCAAGAGGATCTGTGGCTCAAGTGGTAGAATACTAGCCTTGAGCAAAAATAAAATGTTCAGGGATAGCACCCAAGCCCTGAGTTCAAGCCTCAGCACTGGCACAAAAAGAAAGTAGGGGAGGAGAATAGGGGGATGTTGGGAATTTAACTTAGTAGAACACTTGCCTATTACTTAGCAAATGCAATGTCTTGAGTTTGGTCCTCAGCTCTGCAAATAAATAAATAAATAGTAGGGTTTTTCCTAGCTCTGTCCCCTTAAAGGCCATTAGCAATGAAGACAACCAGCATCCTATCTGAATTAAAACTATCAATCCGTAATTTAAAACAAAACAAAACAAGAAATATATTCTTCGGAGAAGCTACTGAGTCCAGAACTACATATAATATTGATAAAGGGAGGAAAACACACACACGTATCTGTTCTGAAAAAAATAACTGTATCACAGCAAGCGGATAAGGAAGGAAAATTTATCTATTAACTCTAGCTTATATGTGCAGAAGTAATAACCCCCAAAATGACCAGTTCACTAGTCCTGAAAAACTAATAGATATTTAGGGCAAAGAGTATTAGCAGACAGAAAAAGCAATTACCCAGATATTGTGGGGAAACTTCATAATGAATGAACTAGGCCAACAATACCAAAATCTATTGATCAACAAAACACAAAGTAAGAAACCACAAGAAAGTGTGTTCTGATATGATACAAGAAGCAAACAAAACTACTTATAAGACATTCTGGCCAAAGACATCAATCCTAAACATATATAACCTCCCATCTACAGGAATATAGGGGGCAAATAAGATGTTTAAAATCAGTTATGTGTAATCAGCAAAACAAAAATGTAGAAAATTCTGTACCAGTAAATGACCTGGTTTCTTTAACAAATAATCTATATGGAAAAAAAGGGCTGGGATGTTGGCTCAGTGGTAGAACGCTTGCCTTGCATGCATGAGGCCCTGGGTTTGATTCCTCAGCACCACATAAGCAGGAAAAAAAAAAGGCCAGAAGCGGCGCTGTGGCTCATGTGGTAGAGCGCTAGCCTTGAGCTGAAGAGCTGAGGGACAACACCCAGGCCCAGAGTTCAGGCCCCATGACAGGACCAAAAAAAAAAAAAAAATTAAGATGGAAGATTCTATATCTTAAAGGATAGCAAAGAGATATTAGAGATCAAATACAATATGCAGATCCTGTTCCTATCTTGATTAAAATAAGCCAACTATGAAAAAAAAGTCAATAAGGAAAATCAGAACTCTGGACATTTTTAACACCAAAGAACTACTGTTCTTTATGGTTGGGCATGATGGCTCAAAGGCTAAGGCAGGAGGATTTCAAGTTGCAGGCTGCCTGGACAACATAGAGAATTGCAGGCCAGTCTAAGTCATATAAGAGATCCCTCTCTCAAACCTCCCCACACACACACACAAAATACACATTTCAGTAAGGAGACAGATTGGCAGCCATGTGTTGGTAACTGTTGAAATTAGTAATAGGTACAGAAGACAATCACTATCTCATTCTCTTTAATTCTATAAATTAAAAAAATATAAAACTGGATCAGGCTATTTGAAGTTCCAAAACAGTTTGTAAATAACACAATATAAATTTCTATTCTTATAAATCATACTGAATATGAAACTCTGACATTAAGAAAAATTTAATATAAATTCTACACAATGTCATTTTCGGTTGGATTCTGGAGGGGAAGGGGCAGGAAGGAATGGAGGTTGTGCTAGTACTAGGGCTTGAATTCGGGGCCTAGACACAGTCCCTGAGCTTTTTTACTGAAAGCTGGTGCTCTATCACTTAAGCCACAAGCTCCACTTTCAGAATTTTGGTTTTGATTTAAGAGGCTTTCCTGCCTGGCCTGGTTTTGATCCTCAGATCTCAGCCTCCTGAATAGGTAGATTTACAGGTGTGAGCTAACATCACTAGGCTATTATATTTCAATAGAATTATGCCTTACGAACCTATCTTTAAGATTCCACATTCATTACATATAAAGTAGGGTCCACTTATTGAAACAGGAAAATCAGAGCTGGCACAAATGCACACTTGGGATTTAGGTCATAAGCAACCCATCAAGAATCAAAAAACTACTGTCTTATTTCTAAAGAAGTAATACAAAACCATTAAAGAGTTTAAGAAATGAAATTAAGGTTAAGAAAAAAGAGGGGGGGAAAGAGAAAAGATTAACAGATTGAACAGTAAATTCAATTAGTCCAAATCCCTAATTTACTACATGCACTTATGGCAAAGGAAGAGAAAGGCAGAAATAAAGGGCTTCTCTTTTCTTTCTTCCTTCCTCTCTTTCCCTTTACTCTTCTCACTCTTACAGTATTTTACAGAGGGATAAAATGTACAAACACAAAGCATTAGGCTCAACAAATTACATGAGAAGATTCAGATGACCACCATTCAGATCAAGAGCATTTCCATTCTCCACAAAGTTCCTTCAGCTTTTATCCAATAAACATCTGCCTCCCCAGGCTGACCCACTTTGACTTTTGTCATTGTAGATTTGCTAGCTCATACTTATCTAAATAAGGATGCTTTTCTGTTTTGCTACTTTCACTCAATTATTCTGTTTATTATTATTCTCTCTTTAATCCCTAAATAATATTTCACTAAATGAAATACCAAAAGTTGTTCTACTAATCATAGAACATTTGATATAT